AGGGCTCAGGAGGTATATTCCAGAAGTTAAAATCTCTAACCCGGTGTATTCTTCTCTTCTATTTTCTTCTCTGTCACCCCTTGTCTAGAAACTTGTCTGCTTCTACCAAGTGTTTTGGGATGATCAGAAATGCTGCTACAAACCAAAGATCTCTTCTGATGATGTGATTTCTTATTTTGTCCATGTTTCATTACAGAGTTCAAGATAATGTGAATAAACACATGTTAAAGTTATCATAGGATAGTAATTAAGAATATTTTCCAGATTTTAATAAGAATGTTGCCATTGACTTTAACAGGATAAAGAATTGCTCTACTCCTTAGTGAATCAAAGTATGGAAATATATTTAAAGTATGATTAAGTCTGTGCTAAATCCTTTAGAAGTACAAGTGAACATGAATTCAAATGCAAATATAACCAATCATCTGCCCAAACCTAAATATTCACTTTACAATAAGACTGTTTATTATTAGAGACTAATATTTATATAAAGTGTAGGCTGAAACAATAACAACTGCATAATTCATCATTTCCTTTTAAGGTATAATGCCATTTGATCAGACAGAACACAAGCTCTTGATATATTTATAGGATGTGATATTTCTGAATTAGATGGCTAAGCTACATTTATGGGATGTAAGAAAACATGCCACATGCTTCATACATAGTTCTGCTTCAGTTAGCAAAAGAAACTTATGAGATGAAGAGGAGAAAATACAAGATAAAGCATCTAGCTAATAGCACTGGGTTTGGAAAAGAATCCCAATTATTTCAATCAATGCAGTTCTCAGCACCTCAGCCACACAATATAAGGAACATTAGAATGGACACAGCTTGTGTACAAAATAGTATCTGGAGGCCACAGCTCAGGGGCAGAGAGACATAGCTCATTAGTATCTGGAGACATAGCTTACTGTGCTTTGCAAGCAGCAGTTCCCAGATCAAGCCCTGGCATCTCCATTATGAGGTTCTCCAGTTGCAGAGTTGGGAAAGACTTCTGCCAGGAATATTGAAGAATTGCTGCTAGACAGAACAGTGAGGCCTACAAGGAAAAGTGGTCACATTGTGCATAAGACAGAATCCTACAATCATATTAGAGCAATGAGCTCCTATAAAGGGCTGTCAAAATCTGTAAAACAAGCCAGTACAATTGGAACTAATGTTTTAACTAGTAAACAATGGCTGTAATATATATTGGTTTGGCTCACAACACAGCTGTGAGCTAATTTTAAAATATAGATTGGGAAGTGTTTTTTGAAAATCTAGACTATTGATATACATAATCACACAATATCGCATTTAATAAAATATTTCCATATCCCAACTATTCACGCTAGTATGCATTTGTTTTTGTTTTGTTTTACTTAGAGGTTTCTTCTATCCCACCCAATCCCAAAGGCATAGAGCAGATTACACTTTTGCTGAAAACTTTTTCTTTTCTCAGAATAACATAACCTGAGGAACAGAACATATTCCACGAGCCATCTTCTCAAAGAGGGGCCAATATGCAATAGACTGCCTGTGTAACGCGTTTAAGTGATTCCATGAATATGTAAAGAAAACATAGCATTAGAATGGATTATCTGTGCAACCTTTTAGTGGAATGATTTCACTGGGAATTTAGATACATTCACTTTAGACTGATTGCACACAAGGATAAATGAAAGCATTAGCTAAAGTCTCTCATAACAGTACATACCAGAGTTATCCAAAGCAATAATAGCACAACATACACGGGCTTCAACATTTTGTGGTAGAGGTGGGTAACCCTTTTGGGGCCAGATAATGGATAGTGAATGGATTTAGTTTGACAGACTATCGCATTTGTTTCCTGTCACTCCTACAAAAAGGTCAGCTTGGTATTTTCATCTAGCAAGGCTGCAAAGTAGGGTGACAATGCAAAAACAATTGACCCAAACTGAGCTTATCTCCTGCTGCAGGCTGTAGCATGAGGGCATAAGAGCAGGAGCAAACACATGGAACAGGGAATTAAAGACCTAAGAAGAGCCACGCTGGATCAGACCAAGAGTTCATCTGGTGGTCAAGCAACTGTCCATGTAAAGCTCTGTTCTGAGGCAAGATTTACAAGATGAGAGAGGGAGGTGGGATTTAAAGAGAAAGACAGTAGCCAAAGAAAATTACTCTAAAATCCCATTGAGATCAATAGGTGGTTGGACACCATTACTCATATTCCAGGAATTTTAATTAACTTCCTCTCTAGATGGAGGCCAGAGTCTATTATGTCTAGGAAGAAATCAGCAAGATACCGTTTAAGCATGGAAATAATTTAGGGTTCATAGGAGGGTCTGGCAAAGGAAATTGATTCATTACAAAGATACTTGACAGCATAATGAGAATGCAATAAATAAAGCCAGAAGCAAACTTTACAACAACAGCAAGGATGAAACATCAGTGATTCAAAGGACCTGATAAAATGGAAAAGCTTTCAGATCTAAAAGAGCAGTGTGATGCTAGGCATACCATCCAGAGAGAAATTCTGCCACTGGAATTCCACAAACAAAAAACTCCCAGCTCCAGTGACACATGGGTTACCTCACCTGTTGGGGTTATCCAAAGAATCTAATTTTAATACCCAAAGAAGCTAATTTTAATACCCAGGCATACAGATATGGGAGCAGATGGGAGCTCAAGTACTTGGGTTCCAAGCCATGCAGGACTTGCAACCCAAAGTCAGCAGCAGCATATACTGTGCCAATAAGAACCACAGAAACCCATGGTGTGCCCAACAGACAGGGTCACTATGGGTTGTTCTTCCCCTTGGTGCTACACAAAGTATCTTTGTCACTTACAGCACAGCCTGTCCCATCTTCCCTGTCCCTGCTCCCACTGTAACCCCTTTTCATTATCTGCTATTCCTTTCTTCAGAGATTTCAAAGCAGGTCAGTTGGAATTATATTTTCCCAGCCCCTGAAATATCAGCAAAAGTCTTTGTTTTTTTTTTTATTTTTACTGTTTCATTAGTTTGTCAGAATTGCTTGAGCCTGCTACTTCCCCTTTCTAGGATATGTCACTGTCTTGCCTGGTCTATTACAACTGTCAGCTGGAAATAGAATAAAAGAAGGCCACATGCAGGTTATACTGCAAAGAGCTGACAGAAGTCAAGCATCTGGCTGACAAACCAGAATGCACCAGCAAACAAGGGGAAAAACTGCAAAGGAAGGACACTAAAGGAATTAGGTGCACCAAAAGATCTCCCCCTTAGCAATCTTCTGGGTTTTGAGTGTTGAACTGGCCTTTCACAATGCGATCCTCCTATGGAGTACTTCCCAAGATTCTAGCTACTTCACAAGTGGGAGATGTTAAGGCTACCCCCAGTTTTACATAATCTTTTGGGATATTTACTGCAGTCCCCTGACTACTGTCCAAAAACCTGGCGAGGTGGTTGGATAAGGTGGAGCGAATGGGGCCATTCTATCCTGTTTGAAAACTTCTAAGCATTTTTTCAAAGTGTCTGAGAAATTTACACATTTTTCTGAGTTACCAAATAACTAGAACCTACCAGCTGCTTCATGGTAGGGGAGGAGGGAGTATACGAATCTGACATTTGGGGCCTACTATGATTTGGAATTGTTTCCTTCTTCCTGCTATGATTGGGAACTGCATCTGAATACAATCACACTGTTTACAGCATTTCCAGCATTTAGCATTTTTAAATTAGAAAAAAATAATGAAATATAATATAATCAAGTTATTTTGAAAACTCTGAATGTTGCAAAAGGTGTATAACTCCAAGAACCAGAAGAGTAGCAGGATAACTGAACCTAGCTCAGTTTCAACCTCTGCCCTACTGACTGGGCAAGGTCATGTCTGGAACAAGCAACACAAACAAAGTAAACCACTGTTCCACATAAAAGAACCACCATGGACTACATGCTTGGCTGATACAATGCCAAGAGAGGAATGCCAATGATTTAGAACAGAAAAGGATCTGACTCTTTGTACTCAAAGTATGGCCATAATTTATTTGTATGACTTACAAGGGCTGTGGAGTAAATGGCTGAAATGACACCAACATTGTGTCTTCCAGTTGAGTTCTGGAAAGAACTAAATCCATCTGCTTTCTATTTTGTTTCGAATTAACAAACAAACAAACTGTTCTTGTTGCCAAAACAGTTCAGGACTTTTTTCCCTTTCTACCTCAGACTTTCTCTTACATAGTTTCTTTTCCCAACTGTAGTTTGGCAGAAGCTGTCTGTTTTGGGATGAACACTGCTTATATCAGCTTTTCATGATACCATGTCCCAGCATCAGGGAACACCAGCTGCTTGCTTTAGACAACACACAGCTGTGAGAGAACTCCAGGCAGAAGGGACTGCCTTTTAACAATGTTTATTTGGAACCCTGCATATCCTTGCTGGACACTTCCTTTAGCTTCTCCCAGGAATGAGTTTTCAGCCACAAGCTCAGAACCCTGAGACTTGCGAATTGTAAGAGCAATGATATTGCCTTGAGCCTCTCCTTCACCAGGGAGGAAACCGATCGGCCATAGCTGCAGAGAAACAGGCTCCCAGTTCAAAGGCGCAAAACTCCAAGTAGGGATGAGACCCAAGAATCCTCCCCTTTTAAGGAATTAAGCGCTCACCCAGCACAAGCGCCTTCCCCAACCTGGTGCACTCCAGGTGAACTGGACTACAGCTCCCTTCGTCCCCCAGCCAGCTGTGCTGTGCAGGGGAAATGCTGGGAATTATGGAGCAGCACTCCTGGAAGGTTCCAAGCTACCGAATGCTTCTCCCAGAGAGCCCGTCCTCCGTGCTGCGTCCCACCCGCGCGAGAGACGGCAGCCCCTCCGCCCCTATTCGCCTGCAGCAGTGACAGCCACGCCGCTCACTCCCCATCCATCCTTCGGCCGCGCGCCGCGGATCCTCCGTGGTGCTCACCGCCTGCCCCACAGATGAGCCCCTTTCTGCCCTCCCGGCCCATTCCTTGGTAAGACTCCCGCGCCGCTCCTCCTCCTCCTCCGGCCCCCCGCGTGCACTTACATAGAGGGAGTTGACAATAGAGCCGTAGAAGCGCAGCGGCGTGCTGAGCTCTAAGGGCGGGGAGCTCTCGTCGTCTCCGGGCTGCAGCTCAGCGTCCCCCCGCTCCGAGCCGAAGGGGAAGAGGAGCCCCTCTCGAGGGGAGCCGGCGGCGGGCGACGCCAGCGCCAGCAGCGCCCACAGGCTCAAGCCGCGCAGGCTGACCATGCTCTCGCTCCTTCCCACTCGTCGAGGACGCTGCGGGGCAAGAGGGCACAGCGCCGCGAGCCGCTGCAAGTTTTAAACCCCGCCGGGACTGAGAGAAAAAGGGGGACGGGAGACGCTTGCTGGGACGGGCGATAGCCAATCCGTGCAGAGCTTTTGAAAAACCCGGCCTATCGCAAGGAGAGAGCGCGCTTGTTTCCCACCCACCTCTGCATCCTATTGCAAATCCCATCCAGACCCCCCGGACGGAAAACTGAGCTGCGCTTAACCGTCTCCAGAACCTCGAAATAGTTCCAGACCTTCCCCACGCGTATCGTTGCGTCTGTGAGAAATACGACCCACACTCGCACGCTAGGAAGCTCAATTGCTCCTTAAGCTCACGAATATTTGTAGATAATTCGATCGGTGCAGAAGGACCGTAGCTGTTGCGTGGCCCTGATGTTTGCATGCAGGAGGTCTCGGCTTGATGGCTGGCATTTCCTCGCAGAACTGGAAAATAATCCTGCCTGATACCCTAGAGAACGTCTGCCAGTCAGTGTGAAACATACCGGGCTAGATAGACACAGGGCTTAACTCAGTGTATTACTACTGACATACAGACAAGATCCATAGTTATATCGGAACTGCAGCCGCACATCCAGAACCATTGAGCCCACCCAGCGGGGACCAGCCCAGGTTCCCCAACCACGCGTTATTGCGCTGTTTGAGCCTTGCAACTGCCTGCACCTGTAATAAGGGATTTAAAAGTCAATCAGGTCTCCACTGATGTGCATAATCCTTTTCCAAAAGCCATTGAGTTAATACTTACGGCCACACTGTGGTAGGAAATTCCATACCTTGACTAGGTTCTGTCTGGAGAAGTTCCAGGGCTCTGCCCTACCTAAATGGGGCAGACCAAAGCAATTACCTTAACAAGACAGATGCCGTGGAGCGGCAGCCCCTTGGCCATTCATTAGCGCCTCCTGTGTGCGCCCCCTTGTAGATGTGGCAGGTGTACCCAACGAAACAGCAGCCAGCAGATTTCAGGCCAGTGAGAGCTACAGACCCACTGCAAGCTCTCTTGCCATCTGAGGCAGAACGCATCACACAGCTACCACAGCACACTCCTCCTTCCTGCCCCCACACACCCCTAACCCTAAACTATCCCTTCTTCCTTATGTGGCACCAAGGCTCTTACTAAGTCTGCAAATGGTTGTGGGGGGTGGGGGGTCCCATGAGCTCCCAGCACAGTCTCATGAAACTTGAACAAGAGGTCAAGAGATATCCCAGGAGCTGGCTGAGTTCTCTTAAGAGAGCCAGAGCCCCACAGCAACAGGGGGCCAGCAGCTTCTTCTGATAGCCACGCTGACCTCTATGCCATTGCTACAGGTGCCACAGCAGGAGAGCAGCTGGATGGTGTCTTTAGAGCACCCATTGAAGGCAATGGCAGGTGTGGAAGGGATGGAGCACCCCACCCTGCTTCACAGGTGGCTGGCCTTGAGGAATCTGCTTTGTTTATTATTAGAACCCCAAGATCCACCAACTGGAAGCTTGTGCAAAAGTCAAACAATTAAGGCATAACCCTATGTATCTTTAGAGAGATAAAAGTCCTTCAACTCCCAGCATTCCCAGTAACGCATGAAATGCCTTTCCCATTTATTTGGGGAAAGGACTATTTAATGGCTGTCACAGGATGAAGCTAAAGTGTATGTTGGGTTTGTGTAGTTTGGGGTCCACACCTTTTGCATTTTATCCCATTTCACTTGATTGTGTGTCAGGTAAATTGCGGTTTAAAAAAAAAAACACAAAATGAACCATGGGGTAAGGTATATATCTGAGTAAACAAGCATGGGTTTCTACTATCAATCTAAAGAACAGAAAGTTTGCTAAGAAGGTCCTGGAGACTATTATCACAGTACAAAGCAAACAGAGATATAACTCAGTAACAATATAGGAATTCAGTTGTCTGATCCTGAAATCACTGTGCATTTGTTTGTGTTATATGATTCTGAACCACCCAAACAATAGACAATCACTGAAACAATTCAAGTGATCACACAGTCATATAAATGCCCATCCTTTTTTCCTTTTGAAGTATAATTTCCAAATGCATGTGAAATGAAACACCTCGGGCCTATGGACCGAATTCAGTCCTCCAGAGGTCCCAACCCAGCCCGCAGGGGTTTCTCATGCCCCACCTGTTTCCTCCCACCACCAACTGTTTGGTGATTTGCCACATGTTCTGTGCAATTTTTTTCCATTCCAAAAGGCTGAAATGTCTCTCTTGAGATTCTGTTGCAGGCAATAGCACATTTTTAACTAAAATATGCTGGTATTTTCTGTATTTTGGCCCTGCCCTCTTTTCTTTAACCTCACCCACCACCGGAATGTGCTCCCCAGGATTTCCTGCAGCTGCATGGGGGAGGAACACAGAGCGGGGGGCATGCCGATGCCACTGCTGCAAAACAGGGCAGGGGGAGGACTGCAGGCTCCCACACAGGGTGGGGAGGGAAGGGAACCCCCACTGACACATGAGGGAGACCTGCAAGGCACTGCTGACACATGGTGGGAAGGAGTGCAAGCTGCCACTGCGGTGAGGAGGAGCATGCCACATGCAGGGAGGAGAGGAGGTGAACAAACAGCCGCTCCACCCTTACTTTCCCCACTCCCCAGTTGACAGCTGCCACTGCATCCCCCCCCCCCCACCCTCTTCACTCTTCATTGAGGGGCAATGGCAGGACAGTCAATTCTAGGGCCAAGCTTCCACCAATCCCTTGCTTTTGTGAAGGACTCCTCAGGGTAGGGCAACTGGTCTTGCTAAGCATTGAGGAGGGTTGTACCAGTGCAGCTTCCCAAAGGGACTATCTGGCCGATGGTTTGCTTTCAGCGGATAAGGTGGTCACTGCTTTTCAGAATGGTGGTGGGTATTCTGTTGTGGCAGCCTTTGCAGGTGATGGCAACTGGTCTAGGATGCTGCAATGGGAGCCAGCAGGGCTGTGAAAAGCAGCTGTCCACCCTGTAGGTGCAGAGCTCTGGAGAGACCATAACCCACAACCCTGCTAAGGGAAGGGTCTGTGGGATCTGCCACCCTTCCAGAGCTGCCACCTGAAGCAGAGGAGTTAATTTCCCCTTATGAGATGGCCAGTCCTGGAATTTGTCACTCAGGCTGAGAGAGGTTCACCACTGCTGCTAGAATTAATTTGTAAATCAAGGACCTCAGGACTTTAAGGAGTTAGGAACCTAATATATCTTTTAAGTGTTTGTTATTATAGAACAACGGGAGAAAGCCAGCACTTCGATGAGAACTGGTTTTTGCCATCAGGAAAATAATTGTGAGTGATGTACATCCACAGAAGATCTGTTTTTTTTTATAGGCTTAAATAAATAGGCTCTTAGAGAAAGAGGGACTTGTGTAGAAAGACAGTTCACAGGCTTCAATTAGGGACAGCAGGAAGAAAAGTATGCATGTATATCCCTCTTGCTATATAATAGGCTTTAATGCTAAGATCCCATGCTCTTACTCTGGAGGACAAATTACATGGGAAGACACAGTTTTGTAACTGATCACATCATTAAGAACTTTGATTTAGAAATTTTTAAACAAATGCACATTATCTAAGAGTTAAATCTTATCTCTTTACCTTTACATTCTCCATTGGCTGGTTGCGTTATCAGAAAATTCCTGGGGGACAGATGTCTCTCTGTTCTGCTCCTGTCCTTTTAATTCAGTGGGATGACTCATACGCATACAAGCACACACATATACACCCATGCATTTCCCTAACCTTGCACAGGTTTTTAATTTTAAATAAGCTAATCAGAATGAACCAAATTGTTTTTAGGGCATCCTATCTTTAAACTCTCCCTAACATTTTTAGGAGAATATTTAGAGTAAAATCTGCATTTGCAATATATTTTGACAGAATAAAGATGAATGTCACTTTAAGGGCAATGCCAACCCCTCTACACTGTATTACTTAGCAATAACTAAGTACATTTGCAACTCTCATCAAACAGTCTCTGCTGGTAAACAACAGAAACATTATTTACAGCTATTCTGAGGATGGAAATGCATTTATTTGTGAGCTGGTTGAAAAATATGTAAGAAATGCTGCAAAAATGTATCTTATTACCAAAAATAAAGTGTGGGGAGAGAAGGAGGGAGAGAGGCCTGGCTTCAATTTACTTGAATGAGATGTAGTTGCTTTGCCAAGTGTAAAGAACCCCTGTGGAACTGGGCACCGGCTCACTGAAAGGGGAATTGTGTTTGGTGCATGGATCTTATTTCTACTGCTTGCTGCGCAGAGCAGAAGGGACAACGGTCACATTCCAGTCAGTGTTATGAATTCAGGCCAGGACCATTCACCAAAGCCTGTGACATGGTAGGCATATGTCCCACTTTACAGAGGACTGTCCTCATTGGGAGGCCTGTCCTGTACAAACCTGGCTAAAAAAATACAAAACCATAAGAAGGGCCCCTGTAGTTGCTCTCCAAGGTAGCTCCTGGACACAATGAGCAAGGCAGATGGGTTACTGGACACAGTTTCCCCAGTTTTCTGGTGAGATGGATTGCATGTTCTATTTAAAGTGTAACAGTTATTTTAAATGTGTATCTATACATACAGATTAGTAAGTGCAAATGTTATGCACATTGGTGACCTCTTTTCCCCTTTCGTTTTTTGGTGATGCATAAATGGCCACCATAACAATAGTTTTCTAATCTCTGAGTCAGGGAGTGGTTTTCAGCAGCTTGTTAAGCTGCATTGATACAGATCTTTCCTCTTCTATTTTAGGCAGGTTATTTATATTATTTGAAATATGCAGCAACAATGTATTTTTTCATATATACAGTGAAAGAAGCCATTGGATTCAAAAGAAAACCTGAAGATAATGGCAGGGTTTGTTTTTTACATTCGATTTGATTAAGAGGTTTTGAAAAGAGACACTGCAATGCAGTCCTGCACACTTGGTGATCTACTAAGTGAGTGAAACCCACCCACTAGCCATGCCCCAGGGTCCAGCAGAAATGTGATCAATATTCTGCCTGGGGCTGTAAAA